TTCAATCTTCATATTCGCCGGTGATGGTGCAAGCCAATGACGGTGACAGCGGCCCCCGTATTCGAAGCCACCACCTCCACCATTCTCCATTGTGCGTCACCCATATTCGTCTCACCCGTCATTGGTGGCAAACCACTTTCTTCTAGATCAAGCTTCCATCGGTCCTCCTTGTCCACTATCGCACCCTTTTTCTTCTCTTCCTCCAGATACTTGGATAGATTCATTAGGGGCTTCTGCATCTACCTTTCATTTTTCTAGTCTCCATAAAATCTAGTTTAGTGGATGATTTTCGTTCAGTGGCAACCACCGGTGATGAGCAATGGTTGAAGTTCTTGAAATGTCCGGTGATGCTCTGGTTGGACCCTCATAGATGTGAAATCTTGCTGAAAACTTTGAATAGTGCAGGTTGAGTGAGGCTGTGAAGAAGACGAAGGATTATAATTCTTTTTTTTTTTTTTTACTTTTTTGATTTAAGAGGGTATTTTGGTCTTTCTCTATAAAAATAAAATCTCATTTCCATAGCATACCAAACATGCCTTAAAATTACATTTTCATTTCCATTTCCATTTTCATATCCCTCTCCATATCAATTTCCATTTTCATTTCCATTAGGATCAATTCCAGTGTACTATAAGGCATTCAGATCTTTATGGCCATTGAATTGATCAAGATAGCAATTCAAAAAGTAGCAGTGTAACCATAATTAAATCAGAATTAATCTAATCTTTATTTAAAATAGGACAATCTAATTAATATATGCACAAATATTTATATATAACTTTGAAAAGAGTAATATCTAAATAAGATGTTAATTTAAGAGTAAATGAAAGATTTATGTATAGAACACATATATTTGATGAATTACTATTTTTTATCTCAAAATGACATTTCAGGCTCAACAATATGAGAAAAATAAATTATAAAATTCAACCCAGTTATCCTATCCAAAACTGTTGGTTCACTAATTCATGGCTTTCAATGGTAAAACCACAACTTCAAGTTTAATTTTCATCATATAAATCTAAGTTTCTAGAATTTGTTTACTTCATGAATTCCCATTATTTGAAGCTAAGATCACATTAATGTCCACGCATCCATCTTCCATTCCCATAGCACAGATATCATCATGAGCACTGACAATGACTACAAACATATTTGGAGCTGCTCTCTTTCTTCAACTCAAATCCTCCATTTATTTATTTGATTTTAAGTTGCATAAACCTTATCTTTGTTAGGTCAGCAAATTAATTAATGCCATTAATTGGGAATATAATTCTTAATTACTTGAAACTCATCAAAGCATATAAGAGTCTCTTTCTTGATGTGAAGAATAAGGTTGGGCATCACCCTCCTCCACACTCTCGATCAATCACCTTTGTTCCTCCCAAACATAATCAACCACCTTCACCAACTTAACTGATTCTATTTTCATTCTCTTTTATTTCCCTTTGAATCCCCAAATTTTTTTCCAACCACTTAATTTTACCTCGTTACGTTTAAATTCCACTATTCTTCCATCTTATTTAATGTTTTATTTCCCCCAAATTATCATATATATAATCATCAACATGGAAGAATCCATGACTGGCTAGTAACTTAGAATTTATGAGCATCATAATTTGCCAACGACATCCTAAAAAATTGTCACCGTACCATTCACAGCTAATCAATGATCCCTGTGTGTTTGGATCTTAATGAACATAGATATGCCTTGTTTTTTTGTCCTCTTATGATGATTAAGTACTGATTAACTTCTGTCTATCTGTCTATCTATCTATCTGTTCATGTTGCTTACTTTCAAAGACATAATAACGCAAATTATTCAAAAGAGGGATGTTAAGAATCCTAGGATTAGGAATCAAGGAAATGTGAGATGGGATATATACCTTTTAATAAGCAATAAAATAATAAGAAAAATACTGACTTCTTGCAATCTATGACCAAACGAAAATTACAAAAGGCAAGTAACGAAACCAATAAGGCGCTGATAGAAAATTGTAATGTAAAAGCTCTCACTTAGTAAGCCGTTGGGATCGGAGTTGGTAAAGACTTAAAAGAGATATACAACTATATGTCTCACTCTCTCGCTTCAACTTTGACTTATATTTACAGAGTAATCCAAAATTAAATGTGAAGCACACCATATATCTATATAAAAGAGAGTTATCCCAAAAAAAAAAAAAAGAACACAGCAAAAGAACCAGGAAAACAAAGAAAATGGTTTAAGTGAGGAAGCATTCCTATCTAACCTGGCATATTCTTTAGGAGGTGATATTTGATTAATTAACATGCCACTTGCCAAGATTTGCTCTTGTACATTATTCAGAATGTGAGGTTTGGCTTGTAAATAATGATGATTGAGATTAATGCTATATGGTTAGATTTTATGTAATCAATCTTAAGACAATGAAAGAACTTACAAGGGCAAGCTTAACTGATTGATTATGGATGTTTGAGATTAACCACTGAAATAACGCTGAAAAGAAAGATACATTTACATGCTGGCCATGCCACTCTATGTTACTATCTAAGCTAATTCTTGAGCTTCTGTGATTTCGGAGGTGACGTTTGATTAACAATACTTATCAAGATTTTCCCTTTACATATCATATTCTGAGTACGAGGTTTACATGTTGTCATGATAATTGATGAGAAAAATGCTATAGATGTTAATCTATCTCGTCAGAAGACAATGAAATAACATGTTTACAGATTAAAAAATGATTGCTTATATAGTACTGAAGCTGAAAAAATAAAAATAAATAATAATGCAACAAATTAAATGCTCTTATGATCGATACACGCGCACAATGTTGTGCTGCTTCCCAGCCATAAACTTCTCCTGGGTCTTAGTTTTTTTTCCTGATTGGGTCCTCGCAATTAAGAATACATGGGCACAGAACAATCTATGGGATCATATAGGAGAAAAACTTTAATTAATTATGTTATAGGTGCTCCTAACCAATTAAGTCCATTCAATTCTAGCTAGTGTAAATATGATATTATATTGTATTGAAACATGGACTAGACTGGTGACTTGGTGAATCGGTCACTTGGTAGGTTTGACGGGTAATCAATTGAACATGAAAATAAGCGATAAGGGATCAATCTGGTTGACGCACGATTAACCCGCGAGCAACCTGGGGGGTTGACTGAGTCAACTGAATTGGATTTTATTTTTTTCTTGCTAAGCCTAAAAGGCTGAAATAATATTATTTTGAGTTAAAAAAATAAAAATAAAAATAGCAGCATATCTTTGTCCTCCAGTAACTTTGTTTTATTAGATCATTTGTGGTTTTGCAACAATGTTTCATTTATTATGGATTAATGTATTTTTTATTTAAATATTATTTTTCAGGGTTATATATAAATATTTTATATATTTTAATTAAATCATATTATTATTTTTATCTTAGAAGATTTGATTATTAACTCTTAACCCATTGCTTCAGCTGGTTTTAACTCTGGTTTTCAATACCTTGAAATGTAACAATTTAATTTGTCAGATCCAATGCAAAGTTAAATTAATCATGAATTATGGATGAAATTTAGCTTTTAATGACAAATTAGTTTGCGTGGTGCATTCCTCCTAGACAAATAGGTTGTGTTTGGCATCAAATCTAGTCATTTCAAGTCTCATTACAATAAAATTCATTAATTAGTGTATTCCAATGAGATCTCTCCGGATTGAAAAAAGTAAAATCTGAAAAATTGTAGAGTCCAATAGGATTCTATTGTTTGGAACAAATATTTAAACAATAAATGTCAACTGAACTTGCAAATATTTATAATAGCAGCACCTTATATATTAAAATATTTATTTATTTATTACGCTTCACAAAGGCTCAAAAGTCAAAGCATTCAAGAGCTATAGACTCTTTAGGGAAATCGATGACGAAAAATAAAGCTCACCATCTTTACTGTCGCACTCTATATATGTGTGTGTTTGTGTGTGTAGATTTTTTGTTAGAAGCTGCCGCACTTTATATGGTTTTACATATTATGCTAATATACAAGTAATCTATAATTATGAGGCTAAAATAGTCATTTCCTTTCAACCAATTCCTTATTAAGCTTTGAATTCCGTCTCAATTATATTCTAAACAACACAAATTAGAAAGAAATAATGGCAACCCAATTTGCAAAGAATCCGAGCACAAGCTGCACAAGTAAGAATAATGTTGAACTAAAAATGAAAAATCATTTAGAGTTTTGGACAATAATATATACACACCAAAACTAAAACTGAAACAATATACTCGTCCGGTCCTAAATATAAGACCTTTATACACACTAGTATAATGGTCTTATATTTAGAACCGGACGAGTAATTGATTAATCAGTAGTATATGTGTATATACGCGTTTATGTTATATGTGGAATAAACTCAAAGTATAAAGCAATGAACCACGCAACGTGGGGGTTGAACTGGTAATATAATGCTGAAAACAACATAAAGAGAGAAGCTTCAACATATATTAGTTGGTGAAGTGGGTGTCCTCATTTGGATCCAGTCAATTCAAGAAGGGTCCTGTATATCTCCTGTGCATGTGTCTTCCCACATGGGTTTTAAGTTTCAAGGAACAGATAAAAACAACTCAACTTTGAACTAATTGACTCCTTAACAACAAAAGCCCATAAAGTTGGTGCCCTTGACTATATGTTAATTTCACATATATAAGTAAGCGATGCTTAATTATAGACTACATTTGTCTAATTAATAAGCAAAAGAAAGGGTCTCTCTGATAGACTCAATTCCATTTGTAGATGAAACAGAGGTAAATTATAATGAGAAATTACTTAATTCGCACTCTAAAGTTCAACTGGACCAACAGCTATAATCAGACCCGACTTTTTGAGATAGATGACCACCACAAAATGGACCAGCATAGTGCCTACTTCCACAAATATTAAATTTTAATTCCTCCCACATATAGCCTATAATATCTATGGTTTCAACATAAAGCCCTCTATATATTAAGCAATCTGTTCCCAAACACAAACACACACACACAGCAGAAACAATGGCTGTCTCTCTCTTTCATTCTTCACTCATCTCCTCCATGAGAACTTCATTGCTGCTTGGTCTGTGGGTTATGTTTCTGTTTCCTGAGCTTGCAGCAAGCGTGACAAGGCACTATAAGTTCAATGTACCACATTTTTGCACGTATCTTCAGAAAATTTTCCATGTTATTATGTATATTTCACTTGTATTTTTTGTTTCGTGATCAGCTATATATCTCATGCTATTCCATTTTGGTTTTGCAAGATCGAGTATCTGAACGTGACGAGACTGTGTCACACAAGGAGCCTTTTGAGTGTGAACGGGAAATTCCCAGGACCTCGCTTAGTCGCAAGGGAAGGTGATAGGGTTGTCATTAAGGTGGTTAACCATGTTTCTAACAATGTATCTATTCATTGGTACGTAATTTCCATTTCAAAGCCAGCTTCTTCTCTGATCTCGTGGCCAAGATTCTTCAAGTATATTGGAAACCATATTGAGATTTTATGTGATGGAAATTTGCAGGCACGGTATTCGTCAGCTGACGAGTGGTTGGTTCGACGGGCCATCATACGTAACGCAGTGTCCGATTCAAACGAACCAGTCATTCACTTACAACTTCACCATCACAGGACAGAGAGGAACCTTACTGTGGCATGCTCACATTTCATGGCTGAGAGCAACCATTTACGGACCCATCATCATCCTCCCAAAGCGCAATGACTCTTACCCATTTCCCAAACCTCACAAGGAAATCCCTATTCTCTTTGGTACGTGAACCGAAAGACCATCATTCTGTGCATAATCTACGTTTCTAGCTGGTGGCTTGCTTCTAAGTGTTCGTATATATGGTAACGTCACTTGCAGGAGAATGGTTTAACACAGACCCAGAAGCTATCATAAGTCAGGCGTTGCAAACTGGAGCGGGACCCAATGTTTCAGATGCTTACACCATTAACGGCCTTCCGGGCCCTTTGTATAACTGTTCTTCTAAAGGTACTAAAGGAGGCCTTTCACGATTCTTCAAACATATATATAAAAGTAAAGGCGTGTTTGCTTGCTGAAAAAATGACTTTTATAAATAATTTGGATTCTTTTTTTCTTCGAAAGAATAATTGGGATTTATTTTGAAATTAGAGAGAATTAAAAATATAGACTACATATACAGTAAATTAAATTTTTACATCATCACTACTTGACCGTATTTTTAAAGTTAATCTCAAAATTTATACTACTCAGGTCCTAAATATAAGACCTATTTTATAATGTAATTTGTATTGCAAAATGGATCTTATATTTAGTAACCGAAGAGTATCATACTGCTTTTCTTTTTTCTTTTGCCATTATATTATACTCCACTTATCTCTTATTTGGTAGACCTGTTTAGTGTTTAGGATTTACTAATTAGTGTGGTTCTGATCATAAATAAACTCGTCACTTAATTTGTAGATACATATAAGCTAAAGGTGAAGCCGGGCAAGACTTATCTGCTTCGGCTGATCAACGCTGCACTCAACGACGAGCTCTTCTTCAGCATAGCCAATCACACACTGACCGTCGTTGAAGCCGACGCTTCCTACGTCAAACCATTTAACGCCACCACTCTCTTCATATCCCCAGGCCAAACCATGAACGTTCTCCTTAAGACCAAACCCTTCTTCCCCAACGCCACCTTCCTCATGAAGGCGCAGCCTTACTTCACCGGCCGCGGAAGCATCGACAACTCCACCGTCGCCGGCATCCTCCAATACAAAAACCCGTCGCAGCCCGTCAAGAATCTCACCGTCCTAAAGCCAACCCTCCCACCCATAAATGACACGAGCATTGTAGCCAACTTCTCGGCAAAATTCAAGAGCTTGGCCAATGCTAAATACCCTGCCAATGTGCCCCAAAAAGTGGACAAGAGCTTCTTTTTCGCGGTTGGGCTAGGGACGAACCCTTGTCCCAAAAACATGACATGTCAGGGACCAAGTAACACGACCAAATTTGCAGCCTCAGTAAACAACATATCTTTCGCACTTCCGTCGGTTGCTATTCTACAGTCCTACTACCTTGGACGGTCTAATGGGGTATACAAGACAGATTTTCCAGCGAAACCTTTGAACCCTTTCAATTACACAGGAACGCCTCCGAATAACACTAATGTAGGCAACGACACGAAACTGGTGGTCTTGAAGTTTAATACGAGTGTTGAGATAATATTGCAAGACACTAACATCCTTGGAGCTGAGAGCCACCCTCTGCATCTTCACGGGTACAACTTCTTCATTGTTGGTCAAGGTTTTGGGAACTATGACCCTAACAAAGACCCTGCAAACTACAATCTGGTGGACCCAGTGGAGAGAAATACGGCTAGTGTTCCATCCGGTGGTTGGATCGCCATCCGTTTCTTCGCAGACAACCCAGGTACCATGAAATATTTTCGTAATTACCTTACTTGGCTCACAAAATTGAACATAAGTGAAGAGTACAGATAATCATATAAAAAAATGTAGACAAGTTAATTAAATGCAGATCTGAAGCGAGTTTGTTAAATATATATACAGCTAACGATTTTGTAAAATTTATTGAATCAAGCAGCCAAAAAACATGTTCTATTAATGATGCAGACTAGTGCTATTGGCAAAGCTAGCAAGTGATCCTGTTTATCATGAAACTGTCTAGGAAAGTTTTTTTAATATTTTTTTAGGCAGATTTTATAATAAAAAGAAAGAAATAAGAAGTTACACTGAAATGTACACTTAATATAAACAACTTGGATTGTTTGTTGAGTTTGTATTATAGAGTAATGAGTATTTTATTGGATATCTTCATTAGAAAATAAATTAATAATATTAAAAAGTTAAACTTTACTAATCATTGTTTTCTGTATCGATGAAGACTTTCACAGTTTCACTATTGCTTCATACACCGAATACTGCTCATAACCCCACCATTTGTCTAGCTGTCTTGGTCATGTAAACTAGTCCATACTCCTTATCAACCTCCTTTCTTTGTATAATCAGAAAGGGAGAAACTTATTCTCTTTATATAGTCGGATCGCAGAAGTTATTTCATTCATTGTTCCCTTGCATTGGTGAGTACTTTCTTTTTTTTTAAAAAAAAAAACGTAGTGGAGTACTTATGTGTCCATATTTATTTATCTCCGTTCATTAATATAATACATAAAGTTATGAATACTAGTTTGTCACTTTTTTCCGTTTCTATTTGTTTTTTATGACATATATAGTTGGTCACTTTAATACTGCGGAAGTAAAGAGATCATGTGTCTAAGGTGCATGCGGGTAACACAGTAAGAGACAAAGATATTTTCAGCAGAAATCATAATGACTGTCTTCAATAACGTGTTACAATCAACATATAAGCAGATAGAACGACATTATCACGAAGTCCTAAACCAGAAAGAGCATTGTGTATCTTACATTGTTGCTGAGGCTTACTTTCTCATTTGAGAAGGACGTACTTAATTAATCCTTAAGAAATATATAAAGACGTCAGACATACCTGAGGTGTCTTGGAACAACAACGTTGCTAATTAATGTTACCCTGAATTGTGACAAACAGGGGTATGGTTCATGCACTGTCACCTAGACGTTCACACAAGCTGGGGCTTAAGGATGGCATGGTTGGTTCAGGATGGAGCAGAACCGAACCAGAAGTTGCAACCACCACCTTCTGATCTTCCACAATGTTGACTTTGATTGAATATATATGACCATGTGGGTCCGCAAAACGACACTGGACTCTTGCTTCTCTTCCTGAGTCATTTTGCCATTCTGAGTTCAATAATAATGCGAGAATCGTCGTGAAATTCTTTCATTTGATGTGTTCAAGGAAAAAGTCGTGGTGGTGACGTCATTGGGTTTTGTTTAGGGGATTTTCAAACTGCATGTTCTAACGTTGTTGTCATGTTGAGTTGGTAAATTGGTTGATGACATGAGCTGTTCAACAATAACAGTCAGAGAGGGGTTTGCCTTTTCATTCGTTATTCATCAATAGCTTTGTTACTTCTTTGACATGCTCTCTCACTTCCTAATTTGCTTCTATTTAAAGTCAAAGTATTCTATCTATTTATGTCCTATGTTAACAAGCTTTAACATGATTATTTCTTAAACTTGGATAAAAAACTTCATTACAAAATTGACCTTTGTGCCCGGGAGTTACAAACCAATCGTATGAGATGCCTCATTAAAGAAATACCATCAGAGCTGCCAAGACATTTCAATGCATAAATACACTTTCTCCAAAACAATGCACAATAACACTAAATTTATTTATAAATTTATTCATATTTTATCTCCTACATGTTGACGTGATGTCCTTGTGGAGTGTTACTCAGACTTTCACATGAACAACGTCTAAGACTTGAATCTCTAAAGTCTAAACCTGCATAACCGTTGCTCATTTGGGGCCATCTCAAAATTAGTTCACTGTTGCTCATCGCAGTTATGGGCCTTGTGGCCCATATCCTGTTGACTGTTGAGACGATGGTATATTAGTTAAGAAAATAAACAATAAACATTGATTCAAATTGAACTCCTTTACATTTTATAAAAAGAACCATTCCCATTTAAAACAAAAAGTTTGCCCCTTTGAAAAAGCAGAAGCAATTCCAACCGCAGAATCCGTGATCAATAACCCGAGATATTTTCGTCAGTCATGGCTCAGATTTTAGCTTAACGGGTTCCAGCTGCAAGCGAGGCTTGCCCCCAACTTAGTTCTGTGGTCCTGAGGCTAAAAGAAGCAAAAGAAAAAGATAACAGAACAAAGGAAATTTAGAAGCCATGTGAAAGTGCAGAAAATGAGTAATATACAAAAGTGACGACGCAGAACAAAACTGCAACATCATTCAAGAAAGCAGTGGATAAGCCAGTAAGAAGTGGAAAGGAATAAAACAACGGAGGGATATTACCATTTGAAGATGTTATCAGCGTAGTTAGTATAACTTAGTTATGTCAATCAAAACATTATATACAACAGGCGCATTTAACATTAAATATATACATTATTCATCTGCTCCACTACAACAGTCTCTGCTGCTACAGCATAAGCATGGAAAAGTACTCCTCAAATTCCTGATCAATCGTTGGTGGCCTCGTACTTGATTGCGCCTCTGCAAAAAAATTACATCGTATTGCATTATGAACTCAAAAATTTGACTTGTTCGCTTGAAATGCATAGTTTCTTGGTATTTTTAAACACAATCCCTCACATGTAAGTCTAGGTTATCATTTAATTATGAAAACTAAGGGCGGATAGAATCAAAGTCCATTTCAACTTGTAAGCTTGAGTCATTAAGGGGAGATTCATAAATAGATTTTATGATGACATAAACTAGGGATTACCGAGCAGAACTACTGCATCAATCACGCGCATAAAAGCGAATTTTGACATGGGATCATGAGAATATTAATATGATCCAACTATTCTGTATACCTTGGTTTACTTCCCATCTTCCAGAGGAAAGGACGTACACGTTAGGATTCACCCCACTTGAATAGAGAAGATCTTCAAATCCCTTATCCATAGACTCCTCACAGTTGTCTTTAGCATGCTCTGAGTATAAATCATCCTTAAGCTTTTCGCATCCCACAATCTGCTCCTCAAGATTCTGCAAAGCTTGTATATCAGCCTCATGATACGATTGATTATATTCTCTGTCAGTAAATATGTCCTCCTCACTAGATATTGTCTTCTCAATACTTGTTACATCCTTAACATTATAGCCGTTCCAATTGACAAAAGAATTAGAAGGCCTGCCATATAGGAATGTCTTCGCACTATCTGCTTCAAGTCTAACTTCCTCATATACAGACATGGAAGCATCAGAATCTTCAGCGAAACTATTGCTGTCTTCAGCAGATACAGGGGATGGCCTATCATCATGTACCAAAGCACCTGGTTTGCCATTTACAGGAAGGTCATGCATTCTCTCTGACCTTAAATTTTCATCCAATATTGAAGCCTCTTCAGAAGGGAAACTACGAACCCAGCATTTATGCTTTGGTCTGAGCATATCCAATTGATCAATCTGTAACTTTCTTTTCTTATTCCATTCGACAATGTGGGTCATGCGAACATCATCCATTTGGAATCTGAATAAATGTGGGTTAAATGTTAGAAGCAAATGGCAAGTCATCAAGAGGCATTTCAAGCATACAAATAACAGCCTGGAAACGATAGCCTCAATATTTGAGAATTGAAACATGATGCATGGTTTATCAAACTTTTAGCTTAGTTTGATCCTTGAACTATTTACTTATCTTTTACATGAATTCTTGAGCTTGGACTATGCTCAAAGCACCTAGCGCAAGCAAATAATATTTAGTTTCGTAGCACCTCATATTCACCCAATTGGCTCTAACTGTGAATGATCTATAAAGGAAATATTGCATACATTTCACTGTTAAATCTTGTCCGAGTTAGCTCAGGTCAAGATTCTTCCGTTTAGAAATTTGATTTATGTAACAAGGGATATCTTTTCACAAATACGGTGAGCAAAAACTACAAAATGCAGCAAAACAGGATAGACATCCGCAAAGCTGTTGCAAAGCTGCTTTCTCTAAATCTGAAGAGAATCCGATGACCGATTTGTACTACTCTGCTGAAATTATCACCGACCTTTAGCTGTGGCAATTACTCAATCATAAGTCATTATCACTCCATTCTTAAGAGCTCGGTTGAGTCTTTTAGCTTTAATATTACGGTTATAGATCTTTGTCTTTTAGCCTTTTAGAATAAGGAAACTCTCCTAAGAGATTAAGGCAAAGATAAGTCTTATACCTGTTTTGTCATACTTAAGTACTTACTCAGAGTGCTTTAATGCCCCCCTCCCCAAAACACACACAGAAAGTTAACTCCTAGGTACTGAATCCGTTCCTCCACTGTTTAATTCTGAAGTCCTCCCTCAAATCGTCATTTGTGGGAAAATCAGTATGACAACAAGTCGTAAGAAAGAATAACTCAAAGTGAAAGGAACCATTGTGGACCCGAATTTGCTTTTCTCATGATAAATTGGATAGCATCGAGCTCCAACTTTTCAAAAAGACTTGTTCCCATTTTAGCCAGAAAAATCTCCTTTCTTTTCATATCAGCAGGACAAAAAACCCCCAACACAATAAAGGGCATCAGAACCCATAAATATCTTACAACATCTGAAATTTACAATTGTGAGGGAATAATTGAAATTAAAGAAAGAAACAATATCTAGCAGTAACTTTCAAAGAGTTGTTCCTATTCCAGTTAGAAAACCCAATTTTCCCCCCCCCCCTTTTTTACCTTCTGCACAAGATAAACGCAGCAGCAGAATAAAGCGCATTTGTTCGTACAAATATCCAACAATATATGAAATTTACTTCGTCTTTTTTACATAAATAATTGAACTTCTTCAGAACAGGGACATGTATGCTTGCAGTTATATCCTGCATCTTCAATCACTCACACATCCTATCATCTAAATCACATCCTACATGTATAACTTCTTTATACTTCACAGAAAGGAAAGTCGAAGCAAATCCATCCAAGTTGATTATGCAACCAAATTTAAAATCTTCACTTCGAGCTAAATCTCAATAGTTCACTACCAAAATGGATCTCAGAAACAGTAGCATCAAATCTAAGAGGAACTATGGAAAAAGAAAAAGGAGAAATAAACAGTGATCGAGCAGCGCAAGAACCAGAAGAGAAAATTATATAGTATTCAATAACCAATAAGTCAAACCTGTTTGCTTGAGATGACTTCTGATTTTCAGCTTCCATCTCAATCCAGAAGGAAGAAGAAGAGTCTCAGAACTCAGATAGAGAGAGAGAGAGAGAGTGAGTGATGATCACCCCATGCCGAAAGCTCGAAACTTTATAAAGCCAAATGCAATGCCATGGATATCCCAGAATATAATATCCTTATATCCACACCCTTCTATTTTGAAAAAATTATACGTCCTACAGAGCACAATTAATATAAAAAAAACCCTCGAAATTGCGAAATGATTCTGAAGTCTCCAGGGACCTGTGTGTAATTAATTCTAATTATGAAATTACGTAGTTACCCCTGTTAATTTGAACCTATTTACAACCTCAACAGTGGTTGTTAACAACCCGAGAAAAGGTGGTTAACAACCTCAACAACGCCCCTGGCATTCTACAGAATGAGTTATCATGAGCACTGCCGAGGTTGTCAATCACGTTTTCTCGGATTGTTAACAACCACTGTTGAGATTGTAAACGAATTGCTGCAATAAAATTAGAACGTATTTACAACCTCAACAGTGGCTGTTAACAACTCGAGAAGAGGTGGTTAACAACCTCAACAACGCTCCTAGCATTTCACAGAGTGAGTTGTCATGAACACTGCCGAAGTTGTCAATCACGTCTTCTCGGGTTGTTAACAGCCACTATTGAGATTGTAAACGAATTGCTGCAATAAAATTAACAGGGATGAGTAGGTAATTTCATAATTAGAATTAATTACACACATGTCCCTGGGACTTCAGAATCATTTCGCGATTTTAAGGGACCTTTGTAATATTATTTATGCTTTATGGGACTTGAGTGTAATTTTTCCATCTATTTTTTTCCCCCTCGTCTCGTGGGCGTCGCTTTTAATTTTTATCTTAGCCGTGCTCTGACGGCAAGGTGTTGAGTTTGGCCTATTCTGGAGCGTGCAGTGCACGTGAACAGTCGCTCTCGCCTCCAAGCGGCATCTTCCACGTGGCAACTCAATGGTACGTGACCACACCATGAGTATACGTGGCATGTTTAAGGCGCGTGAGATGACAATCTTGGTATTTTCTATCTAATCCCCGCCGTTTGGCGCGAGACAATTTGTCCAAGGATCCTCTTCCTTCTTCACACTAAGGTTGGGCATTTGGATTTGCTCAACGGTATTAGTATTACTCCTCCGGTCCTTATTATAAGACTTAATTTGACTTTTTATTTGGTTCTAATTATAAGACCCAATCCATTTTCTCTCTTATATTTATGTACTTTTTTCCAAGATAATCCTTCTAATAATGATAGTTATAGCCAATATACTTAATTAGCAAGGATATTTTAGGAATGACAACACTTATTTATTATAAATAACCAACTTAACTTACTTCCTTAATCTCCTCAAATAAGTCAATTGGGTCTTATAATTAGGACCGGAGGAGTATCATTTACTAAAATTAGCTTCGATGATTTATATTTAGAATGTTAGATTCGATTCGTTCCCTTTGTCCTCTCCCTCTCCATATAGGCATATACTAGTATTTCCTTATATTTCAGCTCTCTCCACGTCTTGGTAAATGATTTCATCGTATCAATTTCACTTCTCCCAACCACTCCTTGTCTATAAAATTGGTCTTCCGCTTATTTTTGCTTTAAAAAACTCCCGTACAACAAGGGGAGATATTTCTAGTTTTATTACAAACCTCAAGATCTCCAAACGGTCACATGATCTTGATAGCAGAAAGCTTTTGCTACGCACTAAGTTCTGTGGCAAGATACTTTCATCATGACCTTTTTCTTGGATCCAACCTCTTAACATTTTGAGCTTGCCCCATTACAATTGGAAAACTCAACGGAGTCACACAACTGAGCCAAGTCAAACCACGAAGAATGGCAAATTAAAAGTCTCCCATCAAATATTTAATACTGTTATGTACATTTACAAGACTCGAATTTGAAACATCTTATCATTTCAATTGAATCAAGCATTTAGTGGCAAAAACATCATAACCTCACTTAAATGTCAGACGCACTACATCCAACCCACATATGGCCCAACGAGGAAGGGTGAAGGCAATTGAGTGCTTGAAACATACTACCCACAATGACCCCTCTACCCAATCCTTTATTTTAGTACAAGTACTGCCCTTAGGCCGGGTGTGACAATCGAGGATCCTAAAATTAATGTGTGAACTTATAATATGCTAATAGCAATACTATCTCCAATCCTTAATATAAGATTTAGTTAACTAATTTAAAGAAATTAAAAAATTAGTTAAGTTAATTACTTGTAATAAATAGAAATTATTGTTATCTTTCCTATAATATCATCGCTATTCATATATATATAAATTAAAACTACCATTTGATAGAACATTTAACACATGAGCAACTACTACAAGGGCTATTTAAAAAAATAAATAAATAAAAGAAACAAAGTAGATTGGGATATCACATTTATAAATAAATTGTAAGTCAAACTAATTCTTATATTAAGGATCGAGCTAATATTTAACAATAATAAGCAAGTATGCATGTCTAATGTCCATGTATCTATTTGTGTGTATGAATTGAGATCCTCTCATAATCCTCTTTTTTGCTTTTCTTCTTATAATTTGCCCTCTATCCTTAGATCGAAAAAGTGAATAGCTTAAATGTAATATCTTATAATTAATATTTTATTGTAAAACTATTAAAATATAAATAAATTTAAACTGTATAATATGATCAGTTCACACCCGTAGTATTAAAAATGTAATCTATAAAATATTTTAATAATATTTTTGTAAAATATTATATCTAAATCATTCATTTTTTTTATTATTTACAGGTGCAAAAGGGATTATGAGAAAGAAAAGGAGAAAGAGGATTCTAAGAGGATCATGATCCCCATTTTTATGGGGATAGTTGTTTAGTTTTACTTTAGGTGTTGATTTAATTCGGCTCATAACTGCTCTTAGGTTTAAAAAACAGGATCAAGCCAAAAATATCAACGTATGCTAGAAGCTAATGAAAGCTATTTTGATATGAAAAAACAAACTAGTCAAATTGATCAAATTAGTTTCCTTACATTTTCTTTTGATTTTGATAAGTAGATCGCTTTTATCTTATGATTTTAAGCGTGCATGTGTGCTTTTCAACTGCCATCCTCACTTGTATATATGAAATTTGATAGAGCGCGTTATATGAATACTCCGTCATTTTTTTGGGTGAAAAATGAACTCATTTTTCAAAAGTGGCACGTGATATAGTATTCCTCCGGTCCTTATTATAAGACCCAATTTGACTTTTTATTTGGTCCTAATTATAAGACCCCAATCCATTTTGTCTCTTATATTTATACATTTTTTCCAAGATAATCCTTCTAATAATGATAGTTTTAACCAATATACTTAATTAGCAAGGATATTTTAGGAATAACAACACTTATTTATTATAAATAACCATCTTAACTTACTTCCTTAATCTCCTCAAATAAGTCAATTGGGTCTTATAATTAGGACCGGAGGAGTACAAAATAATACACCGTACCGCAAGAACAACTATACAAGAAGGAGAATGACGGAAGATATACTACCAGTCAAAAGGAATCGAAACGTGAGATAGTTTAATTTGTCTTCCAGGCTCTCATCTTCGTTGTTCTGCGAAGGCACTAGCAAATTAAATAGTCCCTTGTTTCCAGCTTCCCAAAGTTTCCAACAGAGTACATTAAACCAAAAGTAACTATCTTAGGTTGGCTTCTGCATATTACATCACACAAAAACCCACTTTATGCGGGAGACATGCATAACCTTGAAAACAACCTACAATTCACATATGATGACATGACCCCAGTTATACTAGACTTGATTACCGCGTAGAATTACAGTACACCAATCTAAATTAAAGCAACAATGAAGCTTAAGCACACCGGCCAGGATACATAAAAGAAAAGGAAGATATGACTACTTCAAGTGCTAAAACCTCTTGCTCACGTGTGCTAAAAATACATTCTTTCCTTAGTAGGTTGGGTAGGTTTGGTTAAACCATTTGTAACCATCTTCTTCAGAGACTTTCATAGCCTCCTCGTTCTATACCTAACGGCCATGATAACGGGAAACTGAGTCAATGCAAAGAGGGCCACGGGGAAGAACGTGACGCTGTAAATCAAACTCGAACTCCATTTGTTGTCCTCCATCCTAAGGGTCAGCAAAATGGTTGACCCAAAAGCCAGCATCGTCGTCATCAAGGAAATGAACAACAACGCGAAGCCCATTGTAAGTTTTCTCGGGAGGGACTTATAGAACTCCTGCATCTGAAAGGGCGAAGTGAGAATCGACAGGAACAACATCACTGAGACTAAAGAACTCGCGAGGCCCACGACGTCCATGATAGTGAAGAAGACGAAGAGGGGAGAGTTGAGGAGGATGGGGATGCCCTTGTCGTCGGTGCCGCCTGGGACAGTGTAGGCTGCCGCAAAAACCTCAGTGGCAACGAGGACGGCCACGGCGGAGCATGACTCAGCTGTCTTCTTGATCCACCTTTGGGCTTCTTTGTGCATTTTTAAATGTTCCAACTCAAAAAGCTCTCTTGCCGTTAGGTTATCGTCATTGCAATACAAGGAGAAAGGGCGAGGAACTATCTTCTTCACTCGCTGCATATACATTCACAATAATAGTTAGTAGTTTTCTGAATGAACGCGTAATATAATGTCACAAAGGAGAGTTAATTACTTCGAACCAACGTAGTTCATCCTGAAGCTGGAACACAACACCAGATTGGGTTCCTCCATCGTAATAGTCCATTCTGGCAACATGGTGCAGGAGAGTACGACGTTTGCTGCTCATTTGAGAACCCAAGCGGTTCAACGCTCCATATTTCTTGAGAAGCTTATAGATGTTCTTGCGACGATGCTTGACAGCGACGTGCAGTATGTTCTGTTCATCGTGACTGATGTGGAAAATGGAATATGGATGAAGGTCGATGATTCTCTTCACAATTTCAACTGTGCCGGTGCTTGCTGCCAGAAGCAATGGGGTATAGTTCTTAGAACGAATGGGTTTCTCTAGGGAGCTGATCTTCCGTGGTTTGGCTTTCTTCTCTGTTGCAGCCACGTTGGAGGGCCGAATCACCGGCAACACAACTTCTTTTTGTCGTTTTGCCGGATTTTTTCCAATCCATAAGTAGTCTATT